CTTCCACTTAAGTGTCAAGGCTGCCTCCGATCGGCGCGTATGATTCGGACCCCCCACCCCCGCTGCCCGGAAGGTAAAAACCGGATCCTCCATTGTTTGCCGGCGTATAATATTCGGATCCTCTGTTGATTGCCGTTATGCAAGATCCGGATCCGCCGTTGTTGCCCGGTAGATACGATCCAGATCCGCTGTTGCCGTTCGGAAAGGGCCAAACGGAGTTCGGGTTTGGTCGGCTCGGAATGAACTGGCCGCCGGGATAGTCCAGCGAGAAAGGCAGATTGGTAAATGGCGTTCAGGCGAACAGAGTTTATCAGGCGTGGAGTGCAAAGTGGTAGGAAGATTGCTTCGTTGCGTTGACCTTTGTATCCATAAAGGAAGGCGGTGGGTCGCTGGGTATGTTAGTTGGAAGGTGTGGGAGGGAAAAAGAAAGGAGAAAGACAGGTGAAGGAAGAAAACAACGAATAAAAACTACTGGGAGATAGGAGACAGCCAGCGCATACCTGATTGAAAGGAGATAGAGAGAGAGGAGAGAGAGAGAGGAGAGAGAGGAGAGAGAGAGAGAGAGAGAAGAGAGAGAGAAGAGAGAGAGAGAGAGAGGAGAGAGAGAGAGAGAGAGAGAGAGAGAGAGAGAGAGCGAGGGAGAGAGGAGAGAGGGGGGAGAGAGGAGAGAGGAGGCGAGAGAGAGAGAAGGGGAGGGAGAGGAGGAGAGGAGAGAGGAGAGAGAGAGGAGAGAGAGAGAGAGAGAGAGAGAGAGAGAGAGACCCGTCGCCAAAAACGGCTACCGCATCTTTCCTTGAACATGAATAGAGAAGCGCGACAGATTTTCCCCTTTGCTTTAATCTGGTAGGCCTGCACATATCCCGGCATGCCAATGCAACGTTTGAACGGCCTCTGAAGCGGGGACCTGTACCTAAAGGTATGGCGGCGCAGAAGCGCGCCCGACGTGCTGTGTCGTCTGAAACCCCGACAGCCGGCTGGCGCCGACGCGCTGCGGCGATAGACACAGAATGACAATTCTTCAATGGTTTTTGGCGTGTAGCTCCTCGGAACATTTACATTTTGGGCTATGAAACTTGGATGCCGTGCTTAAAGAAACACGCCTTCACACAGCTTGCCAAAACAAGAACTCAGTATTATATACAGCGCCTCCTCCAGTCAGAAAATAAGTATCTAAAGTTCTCTACGCCGCGTTTTCATTGCCACAGACCGGTACCGAAGATTCGACTAATTTTTGCGCCACATGTATGCTGGATGTACAACTGCGATCAAGGATTTTTCTTGAATAACACTGAACTGGATCCGGGCGTCCCGACTGAGACCCACTAAGGTAGGCAGTTTCATGTTTAGTTAATTGTTCCAGCTCACGTGCCCCCCCCCCCCCCCCTCCCCTTGTTTAGATCAAAGAGGGACCAGAATCCATTTCGATGTCCCAGTGCGTTGACAACTTTTAAAGGTATGTTTGTCCTTATCGTCCCTGAGCAATCCCCCCCCCCCCGTCTTCTTCCTATTGCAAAAACTACGCTTCTGCAACTCAAGCCAGTTCTTACGCTTCTAGAATTGTAGCGGACTGTGCATCTCGTCAGCCTTGCATGAAATATGAGATAATCAGTGAATAGGCGTGACTTTGTCTTTCGTAGTGAAATTGACTCCTCCAAACTTGAAGGCGGGTCCGACATCCAGCACAAACTGTGTGCTTCCAGCAGAAATATATTCAGCGAGGAACACCGAACATGCCAAACCAGACCAACAGACCATTTAATGCTGGACGACGGATATCCGTATCCGCCGCTGGCATGTCCGTGACCAGCGTATCCGTAGCTACGGGGAGCATATGCGTAACCACTGGCGGCGTTGCCAGGGTAATCCAGAGAACGGCGATAGCGCTGGCCGTAGCTACCGTGGCCGTGGCCGGCGTGTCCGGAGAGGTAGCCGGTCCGTAGCCGCTGGAGCCGTGGCCATGGCCGCCGAGCTGCTGTAGCCCAGAGAACGGCGCGGTAGCGCTGGCCGTAGCTACCGTGGCCGTGGCCGTGGTATCCAGAGCTTGTAGGGAGCCGGTCCGTAGCCGCTGGAGCCGTGGCCATGGCCGTAGTTGCTGTAGCCCAGAGAACGGCGGTAACGCTGGCCATCGTGCCCATAGCTTACGGCATGTCCGTGGCCGTGGCCGCTGTATCCAGTGTTTCTGCCGTAGTAGCCACCATATCCATTGTATCCGTGGCTCGCAGAGACGACAGCCACCAGGGCAGCCAGGAGCAGCAGCTTGAAAAACATGATGGAAGTACGGAATAACAGTGGGTTCTACTAAAACAATAACAGGACACATTGAATTAATGACGGGGGACATCGTAAAGGACTGGGTGCTTTGCATGTTGACTGCTCGTTAGGTCAACAACGGTAAAACAGCTGATCGAAAGCATCCTGCCGTTTACTCCGCAGCGTTGCCCGCTACAGCAAACATACACAGCAGCCACAGTCGCTTACCACAAGCTTGGCGTTCATCTCTGCGGTTTGTCGAGCCTCCGAGTGCTGGGAGAGTGGAGAAGTAGGTGTGCATGCCACTGGGGACCGGACGCATTTATACGGTACGAATGAAAACTTGTGGCCATGCCCTCAGAGACCGCAAGAGGGGAAGAGAGAGAGGGAGTTCGCAGAGACCGCAACATTGGTCCCAGAAACAGGGCGTGGCATGCAATCTTCTGATATGTGCACACTCTCTCTCTCTCACTCTCTCACTCTCTTCTCACTCTCTCACTCTCGTTCTCTTGCTCACTCTCCCTCTCTCACTCTCTCCCTCTCACTCTCTCACTCTCTCTCTCGTTCTCTTGCTCTCTCATCACATCCTACACTCTAACGATGTCTCCTATCTGCCGCTAAGTCCCTATCCGCTGTTTTTCTCCCTTTGCCTTCTTTCTTCTTTCTCCCCGCCCACACTTCTCCAAAAACATACCCAGTCACCCATCGCCTCCTCGTTCACAGATACAAAAGGTCAACGCCACCGACGCAATCTTCCGACTACTTCGCACTCCAGCGCCTGATGACTCGGTTCGCCTGAACGCCATCTACCGGGACCTGCCGTTCTACCCGGACTATTCCGAACGGCCAGTTCATTCCGGGCTCGACCAAACCCGAACTCTGTTTGGCCCTTCCCGAATGGTAACAGCGGGATCCGGATCGTACCTACCGGGCAAACAACGGCGGACCCGGATCGTACATACCGGCATCCAGAGGAGTATCCGAAAATTACACGCCGGCAAACAACGGAGGATCCGGATCTTCTCTTCCGGGCAGCACGAGAGAGCTCCGATTCGTACGCGCCGATCGGATAGCAGCAGTGACGCTGCCGTGGAAGTAGCCTGCAGCTGGTGACAGTGTTTGGTGTCTTGACAACCACTGATTTGTTAAAAACTAGCTGTCCATGTTTGATTGTGTGTTAAATCCATTATCAGGATCCGCGCCATTCATTACCTCCTTGGACAACCTCGTGTGAACCTGGTTTGAAAGCCGCTGCTGATTAAGATGTTTCGGGCCAAAACATAAGTATTGTGCTCACGAATAGCATAGCTAGCTGTCAAGCTGGCATGTTTTAATGCTATACGTATGCCTAGTTACGCCGTGAGCTCAACTAGTGTGTTGTGCTGTATCCTGGACACTGCTGAACACGCCCTTGCAGGACACGCCCTAATTGATATACCTGACACGCCTTTGTGGTGTTTACTAATGTCTGTGTTGGCTTACTTCCGGTCAGCTATCTGCTAAAGGCTTTGAATGCGTGGAGCCCTGTTTGTCTCACAGTGAAGTGAAAGCCATCAATGATCTTCCCGGAAATAACGTCATAGTACGTCCTGGCGCGAGCCCCACACAAGGTCCAGGCACATCAGGCTTACAGCATATCAGTATGATGTGAAATAAAATACATTACAGAGAAAGGAACGTTTTTATCTTTAAGAGCGCCGAGCAGAGGTCTTCGTGAGACCATTTTCAAATTTTCTGCCACGTCCGATCAGTTCTCCACAAGCGCCATAGCCGTCAGTGGCGTCAAATCGCGGCGAGAAAAGCACACCGGTTGAGCTCCTGGCGATCCAGAATGCGCAATAGCTGAACCTATGCTGGTAGCCGATTGTCCAGTCAATTTTCCACGGTGATGCGTTTGATGTTTTATAAGACAAACCATCTTTTACGAAAGTCTTGTAGGGCAAATTTACTTATAAGTCATCCAATCTAAATTAATGAAAATACACCTTTGGCTGCTCAACTTTAGCCTTTAAAAACAATGCAGGTAAATTGAAACTTTGCGTTCCATAAACGTGTCGTTCCAAGATGCGCTAGCAAAGCAAACTTACATAATTACAGGCGTTGGCGCTCCATCAAGAGGCGTGACGTCATGCGTGGCGTTGCTTGGCATAAATGGGCGGAAGTTGTAACAGCTTGTTGATGTCTAAAAAGTAAAAGAAATTGAGCAGTGGAGAAATCTTTATAACGAAGGAGTGACAACCTGGACAAACTAACTGAAACTGCCACAGGTCAATCAATTTACGTTCGCTACTTTTCATTGATGTTAACTTGCAGAAGTCCAAAATCCATAGCCACAAATAATTCAATCCGTTAAGTGTTTTTCGACACCGCGGCACGAAAGGGAAAATTCATACTCATATCATGAAGTAGTTCCTCAAACATTTCCGTGGCGCATGAGCCACACCCCACAGCTGGTGTTAATGCTACGTTCCCTGCCGGGAACAAGGTCATACCTTTGCTTTCGTGCAGTATAAAAGTGGCAGGGTCCAGTCTGCATGCACACTCACTGCTCTTCTCTCCCAGCAGTCGGAGGTCCAACAAACCGCAGAGATGAACGCCAAGCTTGCGGTAAGCAATCATGACTGTTGTGAATGTTTGCTGTAGGGAGGAACGCTGCGGAGTAGCGTCAGGACGCCTCCGATCTGCTGTCTTCTGCTCGTCAATATGAAGGAGCATTCAACGTGCAATTAGTTCAGTGCATGACAATTGCAATGTGTGTGCAATGCATGAGGAATTAAACATGCTGTATAGTTATCAGCGTTTTAGCACAGCCCATTTGTATTCTGAATATTCATAATATTTTTCAGCTGCTGCTCCTGGCTGGCCCTGGTGGCTGTTCGTCTCTGCGAGCCACGGATACAAACGGATATGGTGGACATGGTGGCAACTACGGTGGACACGCTGCAAACAGCGGCTACGGTCGCGGAAGCGCCGCAGGCTATGGGCACCATGGCCAGCGCTAAAACCGCCGTTCTCTGAACTACGGCAGCTACGGCCATGGCCACGGCTCCAGCGGCTACGGACCGGCTACCTACAGCTCCGGATACGCCGGCCACGGACACGGCAGCTACGGCCAGCGCTACCGCCGTTCTCTGGGCTACAGCAGGCTAACGGCCATGGCCACGGCTCCAGCGGCTACGGACCGGCTCCCTACAGCTCCGGATACCCCGGTCACCCACACGGCAGCTACGGCCAGGCGAACCGCCGTTCTATTCGGCTACTCTTGGCAACGCCGCCAGTGGTTACGGATATGCTCCCCGTAGCTACGGATACGCCGGTCACGGACATGCCAGCGGCGGACACGGATATTCCTCGTACCATCATAAATGGTCTGTTGGTCTTGGTTTGGCATGTTTCGGTGTTCCTCGTTGAATATATTTCTATTGGAAGCACACAATTTGCACTGGATGATGCAGTTATCGAAAAAATAGCAGAAGTATTAGTGACAAGTTTGAAATATGACAACACGCCTATTTATTTGTACTCTCGTGTTGCATGCAACTTTTACGAGATGCCTAGTCTGCTATCGTTTGAAACGGTAAGAAGTGCGAAAACGTGGCCAGTAGTTGCAGAAGAAACGTAATTTCGAAGCCTGTAGAGGCCTGGCCAGGGATCATAAGAACGGAGAGTTACCTCAGAATGCTTTAATAAGTTGACTTGTGTAATATTTGGCTTCATTCAGTTAAAGGCCGGCGGGGGGTGGGGGGGGGGGGGGGGGCGTGTGGTGGAACTCATGAGCCAAATATGAATCTGCCCACCTTAGTTGGTGGGCCCTGCCGCTCGGGACGCCCCGGGTTCCAGGTTAGTAAGATTATAGGGAAAGTCCTTGACCGCAGGCTATTCAATCCAGGGCTACACAGATGGCTGCAACATCATCGAATTTTCCGTGTGCCCTCTTGTGCAATTAGATTGAGCGTAGATAACCTTAGCCACGCATTATTGTCCTTGGGTGCTCAATATTATACTGAAGGCTTTGTGTTTTAGGAAGATTGTGCTAGAGGCTGCGTTGTATTTAGAATGACATCGAAGTTTCATCACACCATAACGCAAAGGCTCGGGAATCACACGACCCAAAAACTACTATGAAAATACTTCCATGGTGTCATGAAATCGCCGTAGTGCGTCGACGCCGGACCCGTTGTCAATAGTGTTTTAGACGACACAGGCACACCGGCACGCTTCGGTGCCGCCAAACAGTCTAGGTTCAGGTCTCCTGATATAAAGGCTGCAGACGTATTGTGATGAACTGTTGGTGATATATGTCGTAAAGGTATATGAGACGAAGGTTAGCCGAAAAACCGGCAATTCACTGCATTGGCCCAGAAAGAAAGAAACGGTAGCCGTTTGGCGGTAAAAGGTTCGAACTAGACGCCGTGTGATGTCTCGGAAAAAGTGGGATTAAGAGCTCAGGATCCCAGTCGATGTCTGTGGGCACGTCATGGACGATTATTATTGAAACAAGCGACAGGGCGAGAATCTGTGGAACTGCATGTTTCCTGCCTGCTTACGCCAAATAGAGCGTAGTGAGTTGGTTGCGACACACGTTATGTGTGAGGAATATATCGGAAGCCTGTGTTGTCGCAAAATCAAGGCTGTTTTTTAAGTACTTCAAAGTGGAGAAGATGCACATTGCTGGGTCTTAGCTAGTGCTGCCATTTGTGCTAGTTGACCCGGGCCGTGATCCGGGGTCTAGTGGGAGTCTTTGGTCAGGCCTCTCTGCGAGTAGGCAGTAGTGCATCGTTCCATGTGAGCTATTGCGTTCCTGCTATGAGAGCTGCTTACTAGAAGAAGTGAAGACGGAACACAAACATACACCATTTTAAGTCATCAAGTGTAACTTCGAAGAACCTCTTATCAACTATAGGGAATCTCAAATCTGTGCCAACATCGAGAAATAGAAAAGGACAGGCCATCGTGAAGGCAGTCAAAATGGACAAGAAGGAAACCCAAGATTCCAGAGACCTGGTACTTGCGATGAGTAGGTTAGCGGGAAGAATATGTTGATTGTGGTTAGTGTGGACCACGAACCGTATTGTACGCGCATGGTGACAACGGCTCAGAAATGAGGCTTCCTAGCCACACTTTTCATAAACATCAGTTGCCATTGAATGAGGACTACATTTTCCGTCTTCAATCACCACTTACGTCCAGTAAGGACCCTTCACCGGAAAACGGCTACCGTTTATTTCTTTTCAATAGGTAAGAGGAAGTCACCGATTTTTCCCTGCGCCTTCGTCTGACAGACCTTTAAACATATATCACAAACATGTCATCACAACGTTTGTACGGCCTCTAAATCGGGGACCTGCACCGGAAGGTACGGCGAGGCCCAAGCGCGTCCGACATGCTGTGTCGTCTGAAACACCGACAGCCGGCCGGCGCCGACGTGCTACGACGATAGACGCATTATGCAAATCGCTCTGTTAGCTTTCGCGGGTAGTTACTGGACCGCTGCGTTATGGGTATAAAGCGCTCTAAATATACACAAATTTACGTAAGCTTGTCAAAATACATCATCTCGGTATAACATCGAGCACCTCTAGAAAAGTATATGTAAAGTTATCTACGCCGTATCTTTTTGCCGCAGGCCGGGACTGAAGACTCCATATTTTTTGCGCCATATGTATACCTGGATCGAACATCTTCGGTCAAGTAACTTTCTAAATGACAGTGACCCTGGACCCGGCCGTCCCAGGTGTGACCCACTAAATAGGGCGGGTAGCTTCATATTTAGTTGTCGAGTTCCAGCTCGTCCCCCCCCCCCCCATT